CTGAGAAAGAGATTGCAAAAAATGAGGGTTCGGAAAATGAAGGGGTGATCGTCAATTCTGGTAACGAAGCGGTGGCTTTTTACTCAAACAATCGAGTGAAGAAATTCTTCAAAAAGCCATTTAATTCAAAGTCAAGAATGAGTGAGATGAAAGGAAGTTCGTCTGGGAAGAATGTGAATGAGGAGAAGAGATTAGATAAAAAGGAAGTAAAGACTGAGGAAGCGAAGATAGAGAAGAAGCTCAAGGGAGATTCAGGGTTTGACTGCCATTATTGCAATGGAGAAAATCACATGGCGAGTGATTGCATACTGAGAAAGAGAGACGAGAAGAAGAGTAGAGTTAAGAACGAAGCCTACTACGTGGAGAGGCTTGAAGAAATGAGAGCGAAGACTAAGGGAATGTCTTTGGTTGCGAAGGGAATGAATGATGAGGAAGGGACGTATCAAATATGGTCATCAGGATTAGATGATGAGGAGATGCGAAACCCGAATCATGGAGCGATGTTCGCAAGACTTGAAGAAGAGGATGAGGAGAATGTTACAGGGAAATGCTTTGTTTCGACCACTGCTCATAAGTCTCCCGTGACTTCGCAGGTACGTTCTCTTTTCAAATCCTTTAATATTCCTTCTACTGCATATAATTCGATTTTATCTGAGATTGATGAAGCTATTATATATGTTAATGATATGCTTATTTCTGCTAGTAGTGATGCTGGAAGGTCTAAGACTTTACTGCTAGATACTCAGAGATGTCTGGAGTCCAAGAAGTCTAGAATATATCATTTAGATTTACAATTAACGAATATCATGTGTGATAGAGATAGTCTTAGAATTGATAACAGCATTTTGCTTAAACAACGAAACATATATTGTAATTAGGCTAAACGTTTGTATGGAAAATTAACTGCATTGCATCATTCATCAGACATTAGCAAAGAACAGCATAGGAAGCTTTTACCCTTTTTAGCTTTCGAAAAGGAAAAAATTGATTCTACTTCCTATGATTGTGAAAAGAAAATATATGAGTTTGATAAGGTCCCAAATGATTCATATGCATATGGTGTGGTTAAAATTGATGAATGTTTAGATGCAAATGATCTTGTTGATATTGTAAATGAGACCTTGACCAAAAACGAACAAATACAAATTTTGAAAAGAACTGAGACTTTAACATCTAACTCTCAAAACAATTTTTCTGATATCGAAGATGACTCTAATGATATTAGTGAAATTGAGGAGGAGGAAGGTGTTGATTGTTCACAGTTATCTGTCATTAATGTCACTTCAATGGCTAAGGGTAAAGAAATTTGTAATGATTCTTCGGTTAAAGTTGACACTGACAAACCCTCAACTTCGAAATTTCATGATCTTGACCATTGACTGTCGAAGATAGCCAAACAGACAATGATGATGATGATGAAGATGTTTTGAAAGAAACAACTATACCCCGGGTTGTAGTTGATTAGGTCTATGAGGAAACTGAGAAGTTCGACAGAGTAATGAAGGAAAAAGGTTCTCATTATCTTGAATCAAATTCTGTCATTTATTTCAACTTCAAATGCACAGATGAAATTATCTTCCCAAATCAGGTGTTTGTTACCTCAGGGAATGGTGATAAAGTTAAACCTGAAATCAGCAAAATTGTTGAAGAGGATAACAAGAAAGCTTCGAGAGAAGGATTTTTCTCAAATCAAAGCACAGTCGAAAATAATCTCAACAAGAACTCGTCTACTTTCCAAAGACAAAAACCAAAAAGAAATTGGGTTGTTAAAACTGAGAAACCAATAGTTGAACAACAAGTCAATGACATTGTTTTTCAAAAACCCAATCAAAATGCTCAAAGTTTCGAAGAACAAATTCAAAAGAAAATGGAATTTCGATGACCAAAGCTCGAAATAAAGTTTATTGGTAGAATTTTGAGTCTAAAAAGAAACAACATGTTTCATTTTACAAAAACGTCTGAAAAAGAAAAGACTGAAGATATTCAGACCAGGTCTCAAAATAAACTTTTTGTTGAAAACAAACCCATTTCAAACAAACCATCTCAAAATCTACTTCAAACCCCGTTCTGAAACAACAAGATTTTTCAAAAAGAAATTCAAATGTTTCAAAATCACCACTAAAAACATGTGTTCAAAACCAAGAAATGAAAATTTTGTGAAAAATCAACAATCAAAGAATTTTGTTCCTAATCATCAAAGACAACATGTTTCTCAACATAACTTTCAAAGGAATAATTTCCAAAACCAGAAGAATTTTGAACAAATTAACGAAGGTTTTCTCACCCTCAACAAGCTTTTAATCGAAATAATGTTGAATATAATAATCGTTTTCAACCTCATGTCCAATCAGCATCTTCAAAATGTCATTTCGATAAGATGGATGTCAAAAGGTCAACAAACGAACCTTACAAACCCACACAACCTCCATTTCCCAATCCTTCTTCGAAGCAGCAAAGCAAAGCTTTATTTACCAAAGGCAAATCGAACGTTAAGAACATTAATCACTGGTTGGAAGGAAAAGGCAAACTTTATCAGTCTGGGAAGTTCTCACAAGAGGAAATTAAGTATGCTTACAAAAGCTACTTAAAGGATTCACAAACTGGGAGTTTGTCCTCTAAGGAATCGAATCCATCAGTTCGAAAGTGGAGAGCTGTTTCGAAACCAAAAGTTGAGATCAAACGAACCTCTGAAGAAAAAGGGAAAGTCAGTGTTGAACCTAAACTTAAGAATGATTTTATTTCGATACCAATAACTAACGAAGTTGACTTAATCGATAGTTTGAAATCGAAAGTTTGTAATTGGGTTTTAGGATCCTCATTTCATCATGCATTTTGTTCTAATAATCAAGGACCCAAACAGCCTTGGGGACCTAAATTCTTTTATTGATTGCAGGTTTTGTGTGACGAGCAATATGATGAAAAATGGTACATTGATAGTGGTTGCTCTCGTCACATGACTAATAGGAAGGAAAACTTGCGAGACTATCGAAGTTTAGATAATGATGGTGTGGTGAAATTTGGCAACAATCAAAAATGTCACGTAAGAGGTTATAGGAAAGTCACGAATGGAAAGTTTACTATTAAGAGGGTTGCATATGTCGAAGGTCTTCAACACAACTTGATAAGTGTTTCGCAACTTGTTGTGGGCACTGGAAATCAGGTTGTATTTAACGAAGAAGGGAGTGTTATTTCGAACAAAGAAACTAAAGAACTTCTTCTCAAGTCCAAAAGAAAAGGTGATATGTTTACCCTTGACATCAAACCAATTGTTGGTGTTCCCTATGTGTGCCTACTTTCAAAAGCTTCATTTGATATAAGTTGGTTGTGGCATCGAAGACTATCTCACCTGAATTTTAGGAATCTGAACAAATTTGTGGTAAATGATCTTGTACGTGGATTACATGTCTTAAAATTTGATAATGATACTTTATGTGCAGCTTGCGAACAAGGAAAACAACATAGACAAGGTCATTCAATCATTATAGATTCGAAGATCATTGAACCTTTGAAACTTCTTCACATTGACCTTTGTGGACCTTCGACTGTTGAAACTCTCAACAAGAAGAGGTACATATTGGTCATTGTTGATGATTTTTCAGGGTTTACTTGGGTATATTTTCTTCGAATGAAGTCTGAAACTGCTCAAGCGATGATTGATTTCATCAAGCACATTGAATTAAGTCTGAAGAAAAATGTTTGTAGGATCAAGAGTGATAACGGCTTAGAGTTCAAGAATAAGGTTGTTGATTCATTCTTAACTGAAAAAAGAATTTCGCATAATTTTTCCTCTCCTTACACACCTCAACAAAATGGTGCTGTCGAAAGGAGGAATAGGTCTCTCTGCGAAGCAGCAACAACAATGCTTACATATGTGAATCTTCCACAGTATCTTTGGGCTTAAACAGTTTCAACGGCTTGTTTTACTAAAAATAGATCTTTTATTCATTGTCGTTTCAACGTTACCCCATATGAAATCATTAACAATAGGAAACCAAATGTCAAATTTTTCCATGTTTTTGGTTGCAGGTGCTTTATTATGAATCTTAAAGATAACCTTTCAAAGTTTCAGTCCAAGGCTGACGAAGGGATATTTTTTGACGGTTTTTTTTCCAACATGTAATTTATAGTTTTTAGATTAATTTAGACTATAATTTTTCTTTTTTTGGTGCTATATTCAATGAGTTACAATCCTAATTGGGATATGAAAGCTGAAATATTTCAGCTTTTCATATATTACTTTTTATTAAATAACAACATTTTCATTGTATTTATGTTGAGATTGCACAAGCTTTAAACAGGTTAGATTTAGACAACAATGATATGGGGAAGAGGCCAGCTTTTCATATATTACTTTTTATTAAATAACAACATTTTCATTGTATTTATGTTGAGATTGCACAAGCTTTAAACAGGTTAGATTTAGACAACAATGATATGGGGAAGAGGCCAGTGGAAGATTAGTTATGCATGAAATATGAGAAGTCGTTAAGTTATTTGATTCAAAGTTCAAACAAATGGTATAAACAATCAAAGTTTGACCAGTCCAACGGATACAAGAAACGAAAACGTATTCATTTTTACAAATTGTATCGTATCAAACCCAACATATTCATTTTAACGAATTATGTCAAACCCAAAAACACGATTTAATGACTTGTACTGTATGCATATAAAGTTGTACTAATCCAACCGTGTCCAAGAACCGGAAAAACCAGACCCGGACTCGGTAGGTAAGTGTCATCTGGTCCGGTCCACAGTCCACAATATTCTTCGAAACCGGTCCGGTCCGGTCCGATCCAAGGTTGTCACTTACAATTGTTTGATTCATGGTCTTTGTAACTTATGTTGTTGGGAAGAGGTCACTAAAACGCTCAAAGAAATGGAGGACGCAAGGATCTCCCTGTATGTTAATGCAAAATAAACTCTCATCTCCCAGTTGTGACTAACTTATTTGAATCGATAAAACACAAACATAATAAGATTAAACATGAAGTATTTTGACATTGTACAACAAGATCACTTCAACATACAATTCTTTCCACTCTGCATCACATTCTCAATACAACAACGATTATTGCTAGTTACAAAAACAATAACAATCAATAATTACAAACTAAACCCCATAACCTTTTCTCACATCTCTGATCCCCAAAACACAATCTCATTCCAACTGAGCATTTATATACAAACATTTGCAATTTTCACCATTTTCAGATCAAGTGCTCAGTGTTTTTGCAGCAGCTTTACCAGGTTGCCTGGACATTTGAGCCCCTGTACTTTTCCCGATTTTTCCTGTTCATATCAACAAAAATCAAGCTTGTGACAAGATACAATTTTGACTTTTCTTCAAGAGCAAAAATTATAGAAACTATGAACTTGGATTTGACGGGTGGTTTGTATATAAATTTTTCTGAAAATTTTCAAATAATTCCTAGTTTTTGAGTGTTCCAGTGGATGTTTCTTTCTTTTTTCCTGTTAAGTCATGTATTAGATAAAGTGACTGAATGGGTAATGATGTCTGTCTGGATAAAGTGGTGTAGATATAAGGTAAACCGTCTGAATGAGACTAAATGACCATTTTACCCTTATATTCCAAAAAGAACAGATATACTAACCGCTACTAGGCAGAGACCTTCTCTTCTTTCCCTGATTACCCGAAATTAAAGATCTTTCTTTCGGATTGCTGTGGGATCTTGAGCTCGAGTTCCCTTCATTAGCTGAATCAATAAGTAATAAGCTATCCACAATGGCAGGAGATGGTTCTTGCATACTACTTGACTTAACAGGTGAAGAAGAATCAAATCCATTAGATTGAGATTGTCCGATTTTGTCATTTGGAAGTTCTGATTGGATACTTTTCTTTCCATTAGATTTGATTAATTGGTTCTTGATGTTGTGATCTTGATCTTGTTTGGAAGAAGAAGAATTCATCTTGACTCCATTGATGTCAAGGAAGCGATTCTCCCATGGACGAACAGCCATCCATCTTTCCAACCAGTTCCATCCCCAGTTTGTCTTATCCGGTTCAAATCCAGTTACAGCTGTCGCTTGTTGTTGCCTTGATCCTGCTTGCCACTGCATTATTTACAAGGGTATTTCAGTAATTTTACTCAAGAAAGAAATGATATTATTTAATGTTACCTGATGAGCAAGAGCATATGCCATGGCTCTTTCACGTTTAGCAGCTGCCTCCTGTCTCTTTATCAACTTTGCTTGTATTTCTTCAACAGATCCAACACTATCACACCACCCTTCCTGTCAAAAACCAAAAATCATCAAAAGTTGGATCATATTAGTCCAATTACATTTATTTCTTTTCATGATTTTTTAACCTCTATTTCTCGAACATGAGCCTCGTGTTGTAGCTGTTGTTCAGATTGGCCTTCTTCCAATGCAATACGAACACGCCTGGCTCTAACACGAGCCTGAACTCTGACTAAAGCTTGCATGCATCTAAGAGTTATTGCAGCTTGTTTTCTCACTGCATGCCCTCTCACAAGAGCCTGTAGCCTCACCAATCCTTTCAGTGCTCGTAGGGCCCGCCTAGCCTAAACATATTATTATAAAAAATATACTTTAAGGTTCAAGTAACTAAAATAATTCCATTATGTTGCTATTATTTAGTACCAAAATTCCTCGAAATGCGGTTTGGATTCGTATAGCTGCCCACTCTTGTCTAGTTTGGAATTTGGTTTGAGATGAATTTTGTATTTGAAGTGAAGTGGAAGGAGAGTTATCAATAACATCTTGAACAAATTCAGCAGGATTCTGGTGGAATTTGTTCTGAAAAATGTTATTGTTGATCTCTATTGAATTCTTTCTCTTGTGCCCAAACTTCCCGAAATTTGTTGTTCTCTGAAACAGATTTTAAAGGTATAAGATATAGAGAACAAAGTTTAGTTATGAAAGTAAATGAATAAAAAAACATCATTTTCTATGGATGTGTGATTAAGAGACCACTACAAAATGGAAGCAAATTTGTAAAAAACTGAAATTGGCCTTGACTTTCTTTATTAAGTCATTCTGTTTGTATTAATGGAATAGAACATTATGTTACATTATGATGTGTTGTTGGACTGTATAAATGGGATGAGTTTTCATATGATCTTTTTACATTATATGTAGATAAATCATATAGTTTTATCTCTATTGTATACGTTATTTGATAAGAAATTGAATATTTTGTTTATTCAAAAATAGAGAAATTAAACATGATAAAACCTTAGATAAGCTTATAATAAACTATATATTTTCTAGTTATATTTGAACAAAAGAAAAAACAATTTGATCAAAGTTTAAATCTTTTTATGAAGATTTTCGTTATTGAAGAAGACATACATAAATAAAAATGGGTTACATTGTAATATTTCATTCAATTCCATGATGGAATGGAAAGAAACAAAACACCCCATTAGCTATGGAATGCAAATCAAACAAATGGAAGGAATTCCATTCCATTCCAGTAGACTTTTCAAGGTACAAAGTCCTAACAAGAAAAAAATCCCAAAAGTACAATGCTATAATTGGGTAGATTTTTCAAAGTAAATGCCTTAATAAGAAAAAGAAATGAAAGAACAATGTTGTAATAAAAAGAAATGGAATTAGGATAGTATAATACAATAAAATAAAAGTATGTTGCTATTTCTTGCATTTAGCCCCAAAAAATGTTTGCATAAAATTATTTATTCAGAGAAGGCAAACAAAAGGGTACCAACATTTTCATCCTTTTCAGAGGGTTGTGACTTTTGTGGTTTCTTGATACTAAGAAGTGATTTAATCCACTTTCCAGAAACACCCATCTTTGTATTCTCTATTCAATCCTGTCATGGAAAATTTTACAAAAGTTAATTAAAAGGGAAAAGGTTATAACATAAAATGGAATCCAAAACTTCAAATGCAAATAAAAGGTGTTACGTTAATCAAACTATATAATAATCATCTTATCAAATTATGTGCTAAATAAAAAAATATAAAACCATATTTTGATTCCCTTCTATTACAAGATTATATTTAGAAAATATCTACTTAATTATAGCAACGTCATCCAAACACAAAGCATTTTTCACTTTAATAAATTGTTAGATTTTTCAAAGAAAAATGCTTCAAACTAGATATTATAATGATATAATAGAAAGAAATGAAAATGGTATGCTATAATACAAATATAAATTAAAGTAAGTTTTTTCTTGATCTTATCCATTACTTCTGAAAGTAATAATAATTTGCTAAAACACTCAAACAACATCAATCAAAACTTCAACATCACATAGTCACTCTCAAACTGTTGATCACGCACAAAACTTCAACACCATTAATCAAAACTTCAACATCACATAGAATTAAACTTCGCAATTCGCTACCATAAAAAAAAGAATAAACTTTCCTGCAATCAAAACCGAAAAATGGAAACGAAGGTAATGTAATTAATTGCCACAAGAAATCGTCAGAAACGTACCGACTGAAATCCGTCCCATGAACTCATATGAGTCGGAGAAAGTAAAGTCAAATTCTGATAGGCGCAATGAAGATCGCAAGATAAGGTGTAGAAAGATCTTTGAGGTCCAGCGTCTGAGCAGGATGAAATTACGAGAATTTACAGTTGGGCGAAGGGGTTTTCATTTTCAACAGGTTATTGGTAGTCGACTAGGGCTAGATTCGGAGTGTGTTTACTGCGGCTGGGACACGATTAAATCAAGAAAAGGAAGGGAGAGAATGAAGACCTAGTGGGAATCACATGCATCACACACATGGTGACAAAAAGAAGCATTCACACATAGTGTACATAAATATGGATTTCGTTTTACAAGATTTTGTCCCTATAAATATGGAGGTGTCCTCTCAAATCTCAATCACAAACTCGATTATATTATAAAATTGTCTATTTGCACTCTCAAATCGAGTTTAATCAATTAGATTGGACTGTTGCACTTTTGGTCCTTGTTTGGTAGTTTTGTTGCAAGTTTGGTTCTTGCCTCTAAAAGCCTTAGAAGGATTCCGTTAACTCGATGCATATATTACGGCAAAATGGTAAATTTCTCTCCCTCCATTCCTCTCTACCTCCTCATTTGCACCAACTCATGAACAAGTGCCACATATATTTTTCCAAGAAACATGAAACATGTTTAAATTGTTACTAAAAGATAGAAACAATCTCACCTACGGCTGTCCAAAACCTAATTCATACACAGATTTGCTCTGGAAAACAAAATTTAGATGTGGCATATGTAATTTGCTTCATGCAACCTTAATGGTTGATAAAACTCAAACACCTCTCGTATAAACTTTGATGAAGTAACAATTTTTAATTAGGTTTCAAAAGTATAACATCATCGTTTAAAGTGGAAGTTCCATATTTTTTTTACATCCAAAATAATAATATTTGTTTAACCATACGAGGGGTTATCATATCAAAATCAAAGACAATGTTAACAAGAATTGTATATGCTATTTCTAAGCCAAAAGTCTTTGTTCTTCTATTTATTCACTCGTCTATCGCATGTAATGTCACATTACTTTTTTTTTTCTATACCATATAGTAAATATATACTAGGCTAGAAAGCCTAGTGAATAACATATGATCAATAAAATAACATCATGTCATATATATTAAAATTTTAAGTTCTCATCAAAACCATTATTAAACATTCAAGTTCTCATCAAGATGATCATCTATAGTAAACAATTAAGTTCTCATAAAAATTATCTACTTTAAACATATATATCCTCATCGAGCTTGTCTATAATGAACAACTAAGTTCTTATTGAGATCATATCTATTAAACAATTAAGTTTTCAACAAATTCACGGTCAATCAAGTCAAGTCAAAAAGGTTACATGCTCGTCATAATATTACATACCCATCTTGTTTGCATAGGATGTTACCCCCAAAATCTCTTTTAAACACTTAGAGGATTTTAGAACACATACATAGGATAATTGATACTTGCATTTTAATTATTTCTTTCATAGTTTATTTTAATATATTTCATGTATTTTTAGATATGGTGCGGACTTGTTCTGGGTTGATTGGGAGTTTTTGCGGGCTTGGGAGGCCTTAAAGAAAACTTGGAAACATCTTTATTTGGGCTAGTTGGGAGAGTTGGAAGAAAGAAAGAATTTAAGCTTAATCTAGAAAATATAGGCTAGTTTTGGTGGACATTTGGACCAAATTTGGCATCTTAAAAGAGTTGTACAAACAAAGAGAAAGAGTCAAGGAAGATCATGTTAAAAATGACCTTTCCGTCCAAGTCAAAATTGTCCAACCACTTTTATGTGGCATGCATAAAATTTATAATATGGCTTAAGAGCCCGTGTAAGCTATTTAGGGAAATTTTGTCTTTTCGCTTTTACACCTCGTTCCCGAGTTCAACTTAAAGAGAGAAAAGAAAGAAAATGGATGGAAATGAGAAGAAAATAAAAGAAATTATTGTTCCCGAGTTTTATTAAATGAAAGAAGTGGAAGGATAGGGAATGATCACTTTCCATACTAACTTTTCTTCCAGTTTGGGAGGATTTGGAAAGAAAGAACAAAATGATTAATTTTCCTTCCACTTCTCTCTAACTCGGGAACACAAAAGAAAATTTTGTTTTCCTTTCCTTTCTCTTATTTTCTCTTCTGACTTTCTTTTCTTTTCTTTTATTAAACTCGGGAACTAGGCGTTAAAGCTTCTATATTGGGTATGGATGGTGTCATTTTGAAGGGATCTCGTTTGGAACTTGGAGGAAGCTGGAAAAACAATCTTGAAGACATATTTAGGGTTTTTGAACCCATCTTTCTTCACATTTTTCATTAAAATGTTTGATACAATTAATCCCTTCTTTTCTTTCTTAGTAATGTTTGGCTAAGTTCTCATCTAGTTGATATTGGAAGTAATTGATAGATATTTAGTTTGTCTTTAAGATTTTATGAACTTGTGGTAATTTTCTATGAATGTAACTTTTACTTGAAGTTCTTATATGGTTGATATTTGTGGTGTTGATGATGGTGGTGGTGGTGGTAGTGGCGGCTTAGGTGGTAACGGTGGTGGTGAGTGGTAGTGGCGATGGGCAGAAATAGTGATGGATGTGACGGCGGTGGTGGTAGGTGGTAGCAATGGTTATGGGTGGTGATGGTGGTGGTAGTGGTGGCAATAGGTAGTGTTAATGGCGGTGATGATGGGGGTGATGGGTGGTGGTGGTGGTGGCGATAGAGGTGGAGGTGGAGGTGGTGAGGGGGTGGCAGTAATGGTAGGTGGTCCCATGAAAACTTTATGTTTAAGTGTGCTTGGGTGGGAGCAATTTTTATGATGGTGACCTCCTTGGGAAGTTCTCATGTTTTTTTCAAAGCGAACAATATATTGGTACATGTATCTATGGATGTTATAGTATGCTTTCAAGATTAGGTTATAGAGACACACACCACTTTTTTTAAGCTATCCATAACACTTTCCTCTTATCCATAATGTTGGTCCCACAAGTTTCGGTATCACTCTCAAACATTATAATGATTAAACATGGGTTTATTTTGTCAAATAAATTAAAATAATTAAGATTAGGCCACATATATTTTACGAACAATATACTAATAAATTCAAAAATATTCACGTTCTAGCAAAAGTTATCTTACGTTTTGACCATAAAGTTGTGAACCTAGGAAATCTATTTCCCAGGTTCACAACCTAATAAAGGTAAGTAAGACTCAACATACACTTAAGGCTTTGCTCGACAAACTAGCTGAAAAGCTAGTTTTTAGCTTATAAGTTATGATGAGTCCTTCCATTTAAAGGATCACCTAGAAATATTTTGTGACATCAAGAGTGTACTTAATCAAAATAAGAAAAGTTACATCAGAACATCAATCATATTCTCCAAGAATACTTAACTATATTTAAAATAAAGTTAAATAAAGAAAAAGACTGTATTCATAGAATTCACACAAATTAAATTTAGTAGGATCCATTAACAAAGACCTTCCTTAAGGTAAGCATGAAAGGTAACGTTTGATAATTGTTGGTGGATATCTCTAGAGGGATTCTTGTCACCACTTCATCAACTTCCAAAAGACTTCAGAGGTTGTAATCTTTTCTTTTTATGGTTCTTTTAATATTTAATGTTCATGTAAAATGATCATTGGTGGGTTAAAATAATTTTAAGTTTATTCAAGACTAAAGCTTTCATTGTCGTTTTTAGTGTTTTTAAAAACTGTTTTTTGAATAAAACCTAACACCAAATGCGACACTCAATTACTCGAAACAAAATATTAGAAGAATATGTTAAACTAATATTTACGAAAGTATATACAAAGCTCTTAAACAGTGAAACTCAAAATTACAATTCCAAAAAGATAGACACAACAAATTTGGTCTTCAACAAATACTAATAATAGAGATTAATTAATATCATGGTCATTGAGTTAATTCTCCTTACCATCATTATGATTTATAAACGGACCAAGAAAACGAATCAACTTACGAATAAGTGAATAATGCGTAATATCCATTACACGATATAAAGATCAAGCATTATTGAAGAGTGTAATCAGGTCTAAGGAGAAGTACATTTAGTTATCTATTTCCAAATCAGTTTTCCATCTTTCTTTCGTTTTACTTTGCTTCTTAGTTTAAATGCAAATTCTCCTTTTAATTTTTTGTCTTGGTATAATTGATAATCAAATATCTGAACCCCATCATATATGTTCTCTTAAAGTTCGACAACTCGATATTACAAAATCTATACTACTAAACGATTTGATGCACTTGCCCATTTGTGTAATAGTTTCTAACATTGGTGAAATCGACTTTATAAATTTAAGACTTGATTTTACATATCATTATCAATAAAATATTTCAAGTCAGATTATAAGTTACTTTTTAAACTACAATAAGCTATTTTGATAGTTTTATCAAACCTTAAATTACAATAAACTATCTCATATTGCCAAACATTAAATTACAATAAACTATTTCATTTTTCCAAAAAGGGCTTTAGACAAAAACTCATGCCTATAATAAGCGTATCGTGATCCTAATAGTTATTTACGGCCACACTTACATACAATTTCCAAATAGTTGTGATACGTTAAAGTCCAATTTTCAAACTTAGAGATCATAGGTAGCTTGAAATATTATTCAATTCAATACTTAATTCATAAAATTAATCAATACTTAATTCATAAAATTAAGATCATGGAGTAGTATAACTGTATAGTTACTTTTTATTTATAGCTGCATTTATATTTATATTCCTATCTACTTATTTATTCCTTTATCAATTCTTTTTATAGTAGATTTTTTTTATATGCCACTTTTTTATTTCATTCATGTAACACCCAGAATCAGAAAGACCAAGAAAAGAAAGGAAAAGCTCTAAGTCAAGGAGTCAACTCGTCAAGTCCAGGGAAGAACTCGACGAGTCGGAGCGGGATCCGGGTTATAAAATAAGTGACCGACTCGGCGAGTCGGCGAGTGGACTCGGCGAGTCTGGTCTGGACGAGAAAAGCCATAATCTTAGGGTTTGCACCCTATTTAAAGGACCTTATGTCCTCTCCTCAGCCCCCCTTGTCGGCCAGAAGATTCTTTAAGCGATTCCAAACCCTAATTTGAGTAAGAGGAGGAGGAAAGTGAACTTGGGGCTTTTGCAAGAGGAAGATTTGGAGGATTTGACCACTAAGGAGCTGGAGGATTCAACTCTTTGGTTGTGCGCAACAGTTTGAAGGTAACAATCTGTCACTTTGCCTTTGTTGCTTCTAGATCTTTTCTTGGATGATGTTTTGGGACCATTTTTGGCATGTAAAGGAG